GAATACGATTACTTTTTGCATCCCACGCACCTTAGAATTTTGTATTTGTTTTCGATCCAGGTGGGTCGAACTCCAATATACTTGGATTCATTAATTTCCCTGCACTGTTCTTTTACTAATGCGTTTGTTTACATCAAGATGAAATTTTATATATTTTGATATATCAATTTTATATTAATGTAAAAAAAAAAAAGTGCAATTCAAGCTATAACACTGAAAAACAAAGATTTGGTTTCTGTTCACTTGTAACCAGACTTATATTCTCCGTAAGTTTAACGGTAAATTCAAAATAAAGTAATCAATTCGATATCATAGACACTACTATCTGCTTGTAGATAAATGACTTCGTGTGTTGGATCGAGAAGTAAATAAAAATGAAACGTGACTCGAATACCAACTCACCACTAACATTTGCAGTGACTTTTTAGTCGAATCGGGTCATCGTTGTATAGTTTTTAAAATACAAAAATATAAACATTTCCGATTTTTATTTACTGTTTTTTTATTATTATTTTATATACTGCCAATCGTAAAAATATTGAAATGTTCAAATATTAAGACGTTTATTTCAAGTTGTTTGCGCTACTTTTGATTGGTACACGTATGGTATGTCATTTACAATGTTGGCACAACGTGATTTGTCGTCTCTGGTGGTTTAAACTTTTATCTAGAACACTCTTGAGACAAATGTTTTAATTTCTTACTTATCTTTCAGACTTAACGGAATACATACACGATAACCCTACCTAAAAAACACCTAACATTGGAAATTAAATTTATTCCAGACTATGAAAGTTGTTTGATCACTTTTTATAAAATATATCAACCACATTCGATAAACACCGCCTTGGAAGACTATTAAGTCTTGTTATTATTGAAGTATAAATTAAACGCACTTTGGAAAATTTTACACGCACACTTTCAATGAAGATTATTTCGAATTTTCTTACTTGCTCAACTGAATTAAGTCATCATTATTGATCATTTTCTAAAATCCACACAACAGTAAATTTTCTAGTTGTTTATATGACATATTTTTTTAATTGCTGCATATATTATTTGTCGAAATCCGTAGTAATTTGATTATCTGTTTTTGTCTAGTAGTCAACACGAATATTATTATTGTATTCGATAAGTTTCGCGCTCGAATATATCATTTACATTTGCCAAATACTCGTGTACAATATTATTTGACACAGTAAAACTGCGTCATTTAAAGCGAAAAGAATATTCGTCATAGACTGAATCGAGTCGATATTAAAATACAATGAATCATGAAAAAATGTCAGTTCGTGAAGCTAATGACGTTTCAATATTATAGTCTTGCTTGGTCAAAACCATTCGAAGAAAGCCAATTTGTCGATCTGCATAATATTGTAATTCATCGTTTGCATCTCATAGTTGAGGTTTGTAACCGGTCGAGTATTAACGAAATGCAGTTTTCATTGTTTTATTTTAACAACAAGATAACAGCATACGTACATAAAGTGTTTACTTGTCTGTAAAGCTCGCTACGATTATCTTTTTTTATTATTTAGATTTACAATACCATGACGATGTTCACGAACTCGACGTCGTTTCAGTACATTATTAAACTGTTTTATACTGTTGTGAACATATTTCGTAACACATGTTGCTTATAATATACATATATATGTATGCACGTGCACTTGTATGTATTCATTCGTTTCTAAATACCAATTACCTACGCACTCCTTAAATTCAACAAGTACTGCGATATTATATTTTTCTGCCATCAGATTAAATGAAATAAGATGTCTTCCACAAAATAATCAAATGATTTGTTCAGCATCTATAAACATTGATGTATTATTACATTTGGATACCAGATAGTTCAACCGATATAAGACTCAACAGCGGTACTTTTTCACCGTCCAGAAATACCTTCTTTAGTTACGATTCGCTTTGTAAACACTTAAATGGTTATATAAATGCATTTGTAATACTATATCAATATTAAAGTTACAAATGTGTTTTATATACACAATATTGATGTATTTTTGTAAAACGTGAGAAAACATATTAACTCCCCCAAAAAAAAATGTTTGTCCAATTATTTTTGTTTTTAAACCATGCGACTTTAAATGTATTTTATGGTTCTGATCCTACAACTACGATATGTAATGTGTAATTTCCCCGACCATATATTTTATTGTGTTGGCAAAACTATATATTATATAATTATGTAAATTACTTAGGCGTTATTATACCAACATGGTGAATCGAGATTGTTAATTTTATACTGGATTATGTGTTTTGACACTTCATTTAACATAAAGATTAAAAATATATTTTATTCTAAATGACCGAAATCGCCACTTAAAGCAAATGCTTATTAAATGTGCATTGGCCTGTTAGTAACCGAATTTTAGAGGAGTTTTTTTTAGTCAATGGCTCTGCCAATTACATCTGAATGACACAAATATTCACTCAGTTTGTATTTTAATTATATTTTCTAAATTTCCAAAAAGTTTTTCGTTTGTGGTCAATTTTATAACTCGTTTTAGGATTGACTTGCCGCAAAATCGAATATCCCAATGTAACCTGGTGGTCCGGTTTGATACAAGCGTATTGCATCTAGTCTTAGGGTCATCTACCTCCTGTCAAACTGATTATGGTATACCTACTCGCACGCTGAAACCATTGTTACATGGCCAGCACGCGTATAATAATTATTGCTTTCCAAGTTATTATTTTTATTTTTGAACGGTCGCCGCTGCTATAATCTCCTTTGATATATCTTAACAGTGTGCACGCATAAAAGTACACCGGCATACATACTCTCGTATATAATCTTTCGTATCAGTGTACAGCCGGTATAGTTCGCAAGGACACGACGTGCCATGAGACTGTGCCGGCAGTTTTTTAGGTTGCTTGTGAAGAAAAATATGATGTAGCACAAAAGCGATCAGTTTTTCTCGGCTGTTACTCTCCTCGTTGTCCTCGTTGAAATCATATACCTTTCTAGACTGTCTGTACTTAAAAACGGATTCTTATAATACTATTTAGTTTTTTATATTTTCAACCGAAAAACATAAGTGTAGTCATGTTTATTATGTTCCAGTTTTTAACTTTACTCGACATATAATATTCATATAAACATATATTTGATCAATGAGTGACTGATGCATTGATAGTCCAATTTAATGAAATATAGGTTCAGTATATGCTTATGATTCGCTAGTGAATATTTTATTTGAATATATAAATACGTGTTATCAATGTTTCAAGAAAAAAACCAAAAATATTTTGGTTTATTTTAGTCCTATTTGATCATTATTGTTTTAATTATCATTGAAACTGCCAGATGTTAAGAAATAGGTCAAGCAAAAAGAGTTGGAATTCATTTGAGAAAACTTTAGCTGGGAAAGATTTATTTGATTTTTCTGTTAGACCAGATGTCCTGTTTGTATTACATGTCTCGTTCGTCTAAAAAATATTTCTAGGTAAATTTTATGATAATTTGAAGATGAAATATTTTGCTAGAGTCAGTAGACGTTATATGTAAGAAATTTATGTTTTTAGTGTCCATAGACCATGACGAATTTAATTAAACATTTCATGTCCTTAACATTGCCTATTGTTACTTAGCGGTAATGACCTCTAAGGGAAAGTGTTAGATTAAGTTTTTTTAGGAGTGAATTAAAAAGGAAAAATACATTTACACATGCGCTACAGGAGTCGACACTCCTATACAATAAAAAAATTCTGGTTGCATTAAATCAAGGGCGAGGCTTCGGCGTCGGCGGTATGTATAGTAACATCAAAACGCCTAGCCCAATCCGATACAACACAACAACACGGTTCATTACTCTTTTACAGGGTTTACGCATTGAGATTTTCGGGGTAAAAAAATAAGTATGTAATGTATAATGATAAAATAAAACCGGGTACAAACAGTACGCTGGCGGCAATGATGCAGCATTAAAAAAATTCTATGACGGCGGTCATTTGATGGGTGGACCGGAACGCCTCTCATCCGTTTCCAAAACCCCCTGAATAATATATGTGTTTCTGTAATCATGCAATGCGACCAACGGAAGCCCCGACTGTTTATAAACTAGAATCGGTATTTAGCAAAGCAAATTATTTTATTTATAATTTGGTACTAGTCGCGTGTAAAATTATTTCAAATTGACTATTGCGTGTAAAAATTGTGAATGGTAGTACTGTATGGATAGACTAGTTTTAATTCACTGGCAACCAATAGGTTCATCATGATAACGACAAAGTTGTTCGTCGAATCAAAACTAGAATTTCGCTGATACTTAGTCACAACAAAGTATTTCGACTTATCTCATAATCATGATGTATCTGAATTTCAATTCAGCAATACCATATAAACATAGGTTCAAAATGTATTATTTTAATTCAGTTGTGACTGTAGTGAAATATTAAGTAGACTTTTATGTTTGTCATTAACATTAAAGTTATTAAAATCATATCAAATATTTTGTAAACTTAAACATTATAACGTGATGGATAATTATTATAATAAATTGCTTGTGCTCAGGCTGAAAAAATTAACTTTTTATTTAAGTTAGAGTTGTAATATTTGTAAAAAGACTTGTGTTGCATTAATTATTGAAATCACGTTGCCTGTTCCATAATATAACGTGATACACGACTCCACGAATATTATATTCTATTGTTTCCGACTTATTCCAGGTAGGCATAGCAAAACGTTGTTGTCTATTATTCAAATCTTATACTAAATTACATTTGACTTAGTACATAATAAAAATATAATAGTTCACTTCTTTTATTATAATTTAAAAAAAAGTGATTCTATTCATAAAAATAATCTTTGGATACTACCTTAAAATATATCTATCTACGACATTCTTCCAGAGTTCTTCAAGGTTTCAAAATCGAATTAAAGTGTGAAATTAATGACTCGTATCCAGAGTAATCTCGTAGGATGTTAGTTGTACGATTTTTCTTTCATATTTTTATTTTGTTTAAATTCATGTTTACAGATTTTGCCTAAAATCAACTTTACCTATTCGCCTTGTAAAGATTTCCGAGAATATGCTTGCGGAGGTTGGTTTCAAGCTAATGATTTACCACCTTACATGAGTTCTTGGAGTCTGAAGAAACGTATTCAACAAGACCGTGAGTTAAAATTGATACTATTATTTTAATAAATGTTGAATTTTATATTTTTAACTACTATTTGTCAATTATAAATAATAATGAAGTTTGAATTTACAGAAAAAATTAAAATTAGAAATATGGTTGTTACGCTAAGAAACGTAGCTAGTACCAATTCGCTGAACTGGAAAATGAAACACTTTTATGAATCTTGTATGAATTTGGACAATATCGAGACAGACGAAGGAAAACCGTTAAAGACAATCATTAGTACTAATTTAAATGGCTGGCATGTACTAAAAGATTTTAACGTTCATGCATGGGATGCTTCTCAGGCTCTCGTACAACTTAATGCCAAGTATAGCGTGAGCCCTTTCTTTAAAATTGACGTGGTCCCAGATGAAAAGTTCGCTGGGCGCAATATAATTCAGGTAATTAATTAAACGAAAAGCTCAAATAAATAAAAAAAAACACTGTGCTAATATAATTACATTTTTAGATATCGCCTGCTGGTCTTGGATTACCAGATCGGAGGTACTACTACAGACAACAGAGTTCCAAGGTAAATGCTTCTATTATTATTACTCAAATTATTAAATTAAATTGCCAAAAATGAGCCAGTTCAATTTGTTTATAGATAGTTACTGCTTATAAACAATATTTAGTTGATGTCACTCAACTTTTGGGAGCTACTAGTGGTGATGCATCTACTTTCAGTGATGACATGTTTCATTATGAAAAACGTATTGCAGAAATTACACCAGCAGTAAAACAAGAAGATCCATTTTCATCTCATCACAGATTTAAACTTTCAAAATTCAAGGAACTTGCTGGAATGGTGAGTGTACAAAAAAATAAAATAATAATCTTAGAATATTAATTTCATAATGTTTGAATATTTAGATACCACTTCTAGATATCTTACAAGCAAAGTTTCCAGAAAGTGACATTAATGATGATACATACGTATCAGTGGTTTCACCAACATATTTTGGTAATTTATCGAACCTAATATCATCATCTGAACGGAGGTAAGTAATCAAAAAAAAAAAAAATATGTACTTTACTTATAGTATTTATTATTTTGTTAAATCAGTGGACTTAACGATTACTTTATGTGGAAATTAGCTGAGGCATATGTACCTTATCTTTCCGTCAAATTTAGAGAAGTTGTAAAAATTTATACAGCTGAACTTATTGGAGAAAAAGATTCTTCACCTAGATGGGAAACATGTGTATCAATTTTACAAAAGTATATGGGATTTGGTATATCAGCAACATTAGAACCTACAATTGAAAACAAAGCTGAAATAGTAGCTGTTGTTAAAGAAATATTTGAAAATATTAAAGATACAATTAAATCTAACGTAGAAAAAGCTCAAGGTTTGGAACCTGAATTACAAGCACATGTTTTGGACAAAGTAAAGAATTAAAAATTAATTATTATTTGATTTTTTTGATAGATTAATATCAGTCAAAAATATATTTCTAAAACATAAACATGTTTTCTTTTTAGTTAAATTCGTTAACTGTTCAAGTGGGTTTGCCAGATCATACACTTCAAGAAACTTATATTAATCAATTTTATAATCCATTCCCTATTCAAAAACTTGATTACTTCCAAAATATCAAGCACGCTATATCTTTCCTCAAAGATTATTCTCAAACAAAACTTAAATCAAAAAAAGAAGAATATGGGTTTGTATAAGCTCTAGTGTTATCTTGCTCTTTGTTTTAATTTTTTGATTCTTAGGTGGTTTGATGATCTAGTATCAGATGATCCAAAGGTTACATATAATATTGCAAGCAACAAGGTGATTGTACCATTGTCTATAATTGCACCACCGTATTTTGAGACAGGATATCCAGAGTATGTTAAAAGAAATAAATTAATTAATTAATGTATTTAAATCTTAATATTCCATAATATTACAGGGCTTTGTTGTATGGAGGTATTGGTGTTGAATTAAGTTCTGCTATCCTATCTAGTGTTTATCCATCAGGTGTAGCATATACAAAAGAAGGTATCCTTCTAGATAACACTGTGGTAGTAAACAAAAGTATATCTGCTACAATTGAAACGAGAAATTGTTTTGGACAGTCTTTCAAAGACCAACAAGTTGAAGTTGTGAATAATACAGCACTTTCTGCTATGTTATCAGTATCAAGTGTGCGATATGCATTACAAGTAAATATTAGATAAATAATTTTTATTGGTATATGTATAGTTTATTTAAAATTAAATATATTACAGAGCTTAGCAAAAATAACTAACATAGGCCCACATTTTCATCAACCAGCAATGGAAAATTATGAATTTGATGCACTTTTCTTTTTGGCGTATGCTCAAGTAAGTAAAATTAATTTTAATATTTCATATATTGCCAAACTGCAATTTATAAAATTACATTATTTTAAGAAGCATTTTTTTTTTTTTATATATATATATATATTTTATTATGAGTAATTATACATGTGATCAATTTTATGAGTTCTTTTTAAATAGTGTTAACAAATTATTTATTCTATTATCTTTGCAATATTTTGTAATTATACTAAATTTGTTAATATGAATTTTTTATATAAATATTTTCATTATGTCTTAACTAGTAATTTTGCTAGTAAGTTTTTTTTTTTTTTTTTTATGAAACAAGTACATTTTCTATAGATAACAATTACATAATATTGTCGTTTATACTACTACAGTGCATATCTCAGTTTTTTTAAGTTTTAAAGATGATCAATAATAAAATTTGAGTTATACCTGTATTAAAACAAGTGTTGGTTTTATTTCCATTACTTAAAAAAAACATATATACTAATATTTAGAAACACTTATTTTTTTTATCATTGATTAAAATCTCATTTCTTCAAATTTTGGAGTGTGCACCATTTCAGTGTAAGCAATGATAAGTGTATCATATTGTTGTGTAATGTTGCATACATTTAAAAAAAAAATGTTTTAGATTTTATTGATTTATGTACTTTAATGATAATACAAAAAGTACTTTGAAAACAGTTAACGATAAATAATTATTTTTTAATCCTTTTAAAAGTTTACAAAAATGTAGTTTTAAGGTAGGGCCACAATACAGTTTTTGACATTTTACTAGCCTTTATTCATTTTTATATTGAACATATAAAGTCATTTTTAATGTTTAAAATGTTTTCCTTAAAAACTCTTAAAATTAATATAAAAATAAATAAATTATTAAATTTTTACAATCAATTTTATTGAGTCTTAAACAAGATTTTGATATAATACTACATGATTCAATTAATTTACTATATCCACTCATTTCAATATATATATTGCACAAACTATTTTTGTTTTTAAAAATATAACAGTTTTATAAATAATATTTGTTTTTATTTTTTTAGTCAATGTGCACCATAAAATCTCCACAGAAACAAGAATTAGATACAATGTACAATCTTATGTCTGATGAGTCTATATTGTAAGTTTAATTTTTTTGATTTACCTAATACTAGAAAGTAAAACACAAATATTATACTTTACATTATTTGGTGAATATTTTTTTACTGCTTATCATTGGCATTTTAGTTCTAAACTATTTTATTGTCTATTTTATTACTTCTTCCAATATATTAAATCAAAAAAAAAAAATTAATTATCTTAATGTTTATTGAAGTATCTAACATAATATAACTTAACAAATATTAAAAAGAAAAAAAAATTGAAAATAAAATGCTTATTTATAAACAATCCTGGTAGATAATAATTAATGCCAAAACCTAAGAATTTAAGTTGATATGTTTTTAGTAAAATTATATTCACAATATTATTTATTAAAATTATATTTTAGCTATTTTAAGATACTAATTAGTTTAAAATTAAATTCAGATTAAAAACTGTTGCGGACCATTTAGACTCATTTCAAAATGTGTTCCAGTGTCATGAAAGCTCAATAAAAACATGCAACTATATATATTAATTAGCATAAAAAATTATGAATTTGGTTTCCTAAAATGATAATTTATATTGTCTATAAAAATTTCATGTACGATTTGTGTTAAATTATTTGTATCTCATAATTTCATTTTAAAATTATAACTACCATGACAATTTTTTAAGTGATAAAAATACAGTTATTAATAAACTTTAAATTTATCAATTATTTTATAATAATGGTAAAGCAAAATCTGTAATTTATTTAGTTAAATAAATCTTAATTAAGTATTAATTTGATAATCTTTTAGCCATTTAATATATTAATTATAATAGTAGGTCTAATTATTGTAAATTGTTTTCAACAACATATAAAATTATATATTTTTAAAAAATAAAAATTTTTACATTTTTATTTAATTTTGTAAATAACTATATATATTTCTGTCTTAATTGTTGTTTATTACGCATTTTAAATGTAAATAATATAATTATTTATTTTTTATTCTTGACATTTTATTTAAGTTAGTTGTAATCACATGGATATTCAAACTGTAAAATATTAATTTACATTTTTATGTATAAGACTTATGTTTTAAGGAACATTAACAATTAATTTTCTTCACTAAAAATTCAATGAAAAGTATAATTTGGGTATGCAATAATTTGTAAAACTATTATGTTTAAATTGTTAAATTAGTTGAAAAGTTCTGACTATTAATGTTTTTTTTTTTTAATGAAAAGAAACGTTATAAATAGCTATTAAAGAAATTTTTTTTTAATATATGAAAATATTACAATTTTTTATACTTTATTAATTAAAATAAATGTTAAATAAATATTAGTTAATGATATGAAGTTCTATGTTTTTAACTTATACATATTTTAATAATATTTTGGATTTTATTTCCTATGATTCATATAAGATTTACAAATTCCAAATTGTAAGTAGTCCAAACATTCTTTGCTATTAACTAATAAAATTAAAACTTCATTTATCAAATAAACCATATCTGATGCCGGGATATCATGTTACACTGAACTGAAGCAGTTAACAATAAAAGGTAGAGAACACAAATTCAACTGCAAAACTAACTAGAAGGGTTGAAAAAAATAATTAAATTAAGAGCAAACTCAAAGTATGGTGTACATGGACAGTATTCTTTTATTTTAATGTTTTTATTCAAGATATAAGATAAAAAATCAAGTTTGGTAAAAACCACTTCTGTGACGACAAAATAAATCCCGAGTTTATAAAGTGTTTTATAAAAAGTTCCTTAGAATCAATTTTTTAAACTTGCCGCTAGTTTTAAGGTGTCTCAGTAATTAAAGACTGTGGTGCCTATAATTTAAACGTCAGCACCAAAAATACCCATCTATTTTTATACATGTATCTTATTAATTTTTGTTATACTTGTAACAATAAGAACTACGAAAAAAAATAAAAGTTTAAAATATTTATTAAATAAGATAATATTTCTATTTTATGTACAGCTATTGCCAATAAGATATTAGGTATTAATTATAATTATTCAAATTATTATAATTTGCACTAAAACAATAATAAGGTCATTTTGTAATTTTACTGGATAATCAATATGAAAAAAAAATACATTTAAAATATAATTAAAATCATTTATTTTCAACAAGTTATCAAATAATAAGCAGCAAATAATTTTTTCAATTTCGTAATATTTACCAAATTTTTAATAAAAAGAGTCGAAACTATGTTTTTCATTCATTAAAATATATTACTTGAGGCCACATGAAAATCTAAATACAATTAATTTTATTAATCTAAAGTTCCTGTATCATTTTTTATGTTTAAACATCTCAACACTAATGGTTTAAAAAAGAACAATCTAGTATATAGAAAGCCATTATAATTGCACAACTATATATTAAACAAACTAAAAAAATACATTTTTTTTTAATCACATAATAAAAATTGCAAAAATTATTTCTAAATACAAATTAAGTCAACTAAGAAAATATAATTAATTTTTTTGATTATTTAATATTTTTAGAATTGCTCTTGATGATATTACATAGTTATTATTGCTAAGTTTTGAATGTATGGTACATTTATAATTATTATTATTTAGTTTACGCATATTTTTTTTATGTAAATTTGATACCTTGAAATCTAAATAAAAATAAATTGTTAGTTTTTGAACAAACAAATTAATACGGTCATAGATACCTATATACCTAGATACCTAATATGGTACATTTAACTGCCAAAGGTGGATGTTTCATAAAACACATCTCCAATCTACGTAAATCACAAGCTTTCACAGTAAATGACTCTCCCCAATCAAGTAAATGAATTACATAAATCTGTTCCCCGTTAACATTATTTTCAACAAAACTACAAATTCCTCTATACCACCTGCCAACTCCTAAAATTAAAGTAATTAATATATTACCAGGAAAATAATGACAATTTTAATTTAAGTTTTAACATGTCATTTTTTATAATAAAGACATCGTTTGATTATTCAGAGTTATGAAAAATAAAATATATTAAATAATTATTATATCAACTTATATTATAAATTGTTTAATTAGATAACTACCATAAAACTATTCAAATTGTACGTATTTTTATACTATTTTTTTAATAAAATTGTTGATTACCATATTTAGTTGCACAAAGTTCATTTTTTCGTGGTTTGTAATTGCAATTTTGAACATCAGTCTGTCTATAATATTTAGTCATTTTATTTTCCATAGACCTTATTATATGTTCATCAACAACTTTTGTCATGTAAAAATAATCTTTTCGAGAGTACAGTACTCTCATGTAATAATTATAATTATTCGTCAATTTGAGTTGAGGCATATTTTCTAACGTATAGAATTTTGGTCTGTTATCGACTTGAGTTCCGTGATGTCCATTTATAATACCATCTTGCTATAAACCAAAAAAACAGTGTTGATATACATTATTTATGGTTATACTGTTTATTTCAATCGTCTTCTCTGAAAATCTATGCTTGTGTTAGCAGTTAATAAGAGTGTGTAATCAAAATTAAAGTATTTATTATTAGTTAAATAGAAAAATATATGTTTTCTAATTACCGAGATTAACTTTGTATCTTCCAAAACAGATTTTGACCAATCTAAAGTTGATGATATATCAACTAAAACATAAATTATAAAAAAAAAGTTTTCTATTTAATTTCTAATACATGTTTTAAAGAAATTTTATATAAAATGAAGTCCCAATTCTTCACCTCTAGTTATTACTTAAAATTGTTAATAACTTCTAAAATAGTTGTTGTTTACTAGTAATTTTCTTAATAATAGCATTAAAATGATCAAATTATATATGTGTATTGCTATTTGAAAAAAAAAATTGACATTGTTATAGGATACCACAAGAGATGTACGAAAAAATTATTCATGATTAAAAAATTCAGTAAAATTTTGAGCTATAAGAGAGAGATGAAAAAAAATTATCACTATTATTCTTATTTTTCGATTAATTTAGTGATTGTTATTATCTTTCTACACATAATTTTACATATTTAATTTACAACTTCATGTTAAACATTTTTTTTTCTTATTATATGTACATTTTTTTTATAACTTATTGTTAGTTATAACAATAAGTTTTGACTTATTTTAAGTCAACTAGTTTTGAATAACTTATTGAATTAATAAATTTAAAAAATAAATCTAAACTAGTATGTGCGAATTTTTCATAAAAAAAGGTGTAAAAATTATTTTAATCAATTTTTTGACCGATTTAATCACCCAAACATCTTTTTTCTTCTTATTTAGAAGGCAAAAATAATAATGGAGGAAACGTTCACCCCTAGAACCCTCTCACTGTCCCGCCACTGCAAACAAGTAAATTCTATTTTAAAACTGAGAAAAGATAATTAATTCAAAAAGTGTTCAATGTTTGTCTTATTTTTAAAGTAAACATACCTTCTAAAGATGATTCTATAGGCATAGAAGAACAAAACTGCAAATCATAATCTCCAAATTCTTCTACTAGTGTTATTTGTTTATCTTGTTCAGACTTAATTTCTCCGATTATGTTTTCTTTCAAATCATGCGTATCATTCTCTTCTTGAAAGAGATACGATTTTTTTAGATTACTTCGTTCTTCAACGAAATCGTAATCTAAAAAAATTGCTACACATAATTAATTGTGTCTCGAGTTTAATTTAAACATACCTTCTGAAGACAATTCTTTTAAAGTGTCTAAATGAGGATCATTTGGAATAGACAAGATACAACACTGTGAAGCAGTGCTGTTCGTATAACTTTTGGTTGATGAATTTGATATATATGTCATCGATTGTATTTTTGAAATTATATCTTCTGACAATACAACAGTTTGTGTTCCGCAATTTATCAAATATATTTGTCTGTTTGTGTTTCAGACATATTAATCACAGTATTTAAGTTAGTCTGAATAAATTTTTCAGAATATAATATCGAGGTCTGAATAATAGCGTCTTTAATACTCTTAACTTGAGAAACTAAGTTATGTGATTATGGTAAACACTCTCCTTGAACCATCACATCTTCTGTCAACATAGTAGTCTGTGATTCACAGTCTACTAATGTCACTGAATAAAATATAATGTTAATAAGAATTAAGTTAACTAAAAATAAATTTATCATAAATAGAAAAAATCATATTAATAACCGTTTGAAAGTACTAAAAATTACCCTTAATATTTTTTTTTATTCCAAATTTCTTCTTGATACTTCTAATTATACGTGTTATAAATTTGGCCATTTTTGATCAATAATTTTTGATTATTACTTTACAATACTAAGAATTATTATCCGATTCGATTACTTTTCTAGTTCTGGATTCTAATTATGTTGAAAACTGATTTTAAAGGGTCAATCGTCTTTATTAATAAATGTACAAACGGTTACTATGACAAATTTTTTTTCAAACCAAGAAGCAAGAATAGTCTATTTTTTTTTTCATACACTATTACATTTTTTTAAAATTAAATTTCATGCATTGAGACTAAATTTCATATTTTTATGTACTTTTTTGAAAATATGATTATTCTGTTATGTATAAGAGGAATTATAATGTATACAAATTTCTATATGAACTTTTGATCTAACCAATATTTTAAATTACTATTTTTAAAAATAATTTTTGCAGTTTTAGATTTTGTTTAAAGTACTTTTTATTATATTGTCTCTAATAAGTAAATAAAAAGGTTAAATATTTTATTTTTATTTTGAAATGATTGTAATAAAAACTTTAATTATTATTAAAATACTCGTAACTCAATTTTGTACTTATTCTAAATTTGTTATCGACTCAACAAAATTGTTTTACTTTTAATACTATTAATTTATTAAAATACTATTAATGAGTTTTGGAAAAATAAATTATTTTAATTAATTAATTACATTTACGGGGAACGGGCACGTAGACAAAGGTGGGCCTGGCCCCCCTTAGATTTAATGTGACCCAGGGCCGGCTCCCCCAAATTTAAAATTCAATTATTTTTACGAATTATCAATAACGTACTAGGCCTTATATACATTGAAATTATTATTAATTTGTGATTACTATTGAGTAATACAGTTATTATTATGGCTGTATTTTCATTTTTATATTCATAGAAAACGTTATTTGAAAAAGATAACAATCTGGACGTAATAATAAATGGAATAGCAGTTACTCCAAACGTAGTTATAGATAAATTTTTTTTAACTATGGTCCAACAAATGATAACAAACTACCAAGTATCATTGATACTTATTGAAATATGCATTGATTAGAATCTAGTTAATTACAAAATTCGATAGAGTAATACTCTATGAAAAATTTTTTGATAAATCTTATCTTTAATCTGTTTTTTTTTTTTTATAATTTAGTAGTTATAATAAGTAATTTATTTGTTTTTGTTAATTTGTTATTTGCGTGTTCTAAATAATAGTAATGAAAATATGACTAAAAAAAGGCAGGAATTGTTTTTAATTTTAAATAAAATAAATTTTACATTGTTTATTATTTTGTATTTATTTTCAAAATTATTTATAACTTATTTGTTATTAGTATTTAGGTATAAATTATTTTTTCTTAATACCTTAAAAGTTGAAAAATTAAATCAGCTTATGTTCATATCATTATTTTATTGGCTTCCATGCAATGCTGAGTAGGTATTGGTTTTACTATGATGTGTTTTTTTCTGTGTCTGTTACAACTTTTTCTCAGCTTTCACCAAACCGATATCTTTCAATGATACGTCAAAAGATCACAAATCGTATCTAGTCGAAGACATTACCCTCAAAAATTGAAAAAAATTCCCTCGTTCCCCGTAAATGAGGGAAACCTCCAAAAAAATTACAAATTTAAAAATCGCTAATTTTCGAAATTTTTTCAATTTTTTTTACTTAAAATTGCTATAACTATTTTAAAAATTACCAAATCAATATAATTTTTTTTTTATATAGATGCATGATATCATTACCTTTCATTTGGTATATTTTTTTTTATATCTGACCCTTAACCTGCCCACAGGGGGGGATTTAAAATGACAACTTTTTCACAAATAATTAACTTTTTCAACTTAACTTTTGAAAATGTTCCGGAAGGTCTCACACTTTTATATATATATTAAATTAAAGCTAATGTAATGTACTTTATTATGGAAAAAAAAATTTCGGACTTGCGAATTGAGCTAAAAGTTATGGTAATAAATTTATTTATTTATTTTTTTTAATATAAACTTTCACTTTAAAGGACAAAAAAAAGTAGGTTAAAAATTATTACTTTTAACATATTAAAAATCAATAATAACTTGAAAACAATTAATTATAAAAAATATATAATATATAATTAAAAAAGAATTAATAATCTGGATATATATAAGGAAGTAGAAGTTGTTATTGCTTTTGTAATTATCCACCAATTTTTTAGAATTAAACACCATCTACAGATTTGCATCGAAGCATTTCTTATGATAGTGATTTTAATCACTGTCAGATTAAATCTATACTGGACCCAACTATGCCACATCCCCACTGTGCCACGACCTCACTGTGGTGGGTTTTTTTTATATTTATCTGTTCATTACCATCAGTCATACTCAATGACTGTCTGAAAAAATCATCTATTGTTTTTTTTATTATAAACTTTCGGAAAAATCAACCATAAAGGATTAACAAAATAGGTTAAATATGTCATTTTTCATACTTTTAACATATTAATAATTAAAATCAGTATTAATTTAAAACAATTTTTTTTTATGTCAATACTTATTTTAATAATAAGTAATTCTATCAAAACTTAGAAGTGATAGAAAAAGTCTAATTAGAGATTTAAAGAGAGCGTGAAAAGTTGAAAAAGAAAACTATATTTTTGTTTATTATAATTTCTTTGCAGAATAATGGTAATTAGTATAAACCAATAGTACTTAGTATTAAGGGTGTAATAAATTAGTAGTAATATGTATTTAGGGAGCAGAATAATAATAATTGGTAATAAAGGGATAGAAAAATAGTATCTAAGGGTAATTAATAATTATGTGTGAATAACAAAGAGGAATTAGGGTTTATACTAAAAGTTAGGGAATTGGTAATTAAGGGGTGTAGTAAAAGAGAAAGTAGGGGGAGTTAATAATTAAGGGGTGTGGTAAATGAGAAAGTTAGGGGGAGTTAATAATTAGGAGGTGTAGTAAATGAGAAAGTTAGGGGGAGTTAATAATTAAGGGGTATACTAAAAGAGAGAGTTAGGAGGAGTTAGTAATTAAGGGGGTATTTTTATTAATTTTTAGATTCTGTAAATTTAATTAAAAGAAACCCCAGCACAGGGGGGTCGCGGCACAGTGGTGACGTGGCATAGTTGGATCAAGTATAATGATATCTGACAGTGATTAAAATCACTATCAAAAATAAACGCTTCGATGCAAATCTTTAGATAGTGTTTAATTTTAAAAAAATTGGTGTTTTATTCCAAAAGCTACTTGATCTGCTGGTTCCTTATTAATATCTCGATTAAGATAAAGTATGTCAAATGAAAAAGGGTTTATTAAAAAATATTATTTCTCATAAAAAAATTGTGTGGATCCATAAACTTTTCAATAAGTTATAGCATTATAAAGTTAAATATAATTTAAATAATAAAATCGAGAATTTTCACACGAAAATAGCATTTGGTAGCCATTTTCGCCGTGGAGACAAGTCCAGAGGTCAAATTTTTTTTTTTCATAATAAAGTACATTACATTAGGTTTAATTTAAGATATATATAAAAGTGTCAGACCTTCCGGAACACTTTCAAAAGTTAAGTTGAAAAAGTTAATTTTTTGTGAAAAAGTTGTCATTTTAAATCCCCCCCCTGTGGGCAAGTAAAGGGTCACATATAAAAAAAAAATATACCAAATAATAGGTAAAGACATCAAGCATTTTTAAAAAAAAAAACTATATTTTTGAAAAAGTTACGGCACATTTTAGTAAAAAAAATTTCGAAAATTTCAAAAATTAGCGATTTTTAAATTTGTAATTTTTTTATGAGGTTTCCCCCATTTACGGGGAACGGGGGAATTTTTTTCAATTTTTAAGGGTAATGTCTTCGACTAGATACGATTTGTGATCTTTTGACGTATCGTTGAAAGAAATCCGTTCGGTGAGAGCTGAGAAAAAGTGGTAACAAACACAAAAAAAAAACACATCATAGTAAAACCAATACCTTCTCGCTTCGCATCGAAGCTAAAATATATAGTGTTCTATGACTACATTTTTTTGTATCTGTGAATGCTCAATCTCAGCTCTCGCTGGATTGATTTTGATGAACATAACATCAAAAGATATCAAATCGCATCTAGTATGACATTATCTTCAAAAATTGAAAACGTTTCTCTCGTACCCTGTAAATGAGGGAAATCCTCCAAAAAATTACAAATGTAAAAATCGCTAATTTTTGACATTTTTTATTTTTTTTTTACTTAAAACTGCATTAAATTTCTAAAAATGGCCAAATCTATATACATTTTTTTATAGATGCATGATGTCTTTACCTTTTATTTAGTATATTTTTTTTTATAAATCTGACTTTTTACCTGCCCACAGGGGGGGATTCAAAATGACAAGTTTTTCACAAAAAATTTACTTTTTCAACTTAAACTTTGAAAGTGTTCCGGAAAATTTGACACTTTTATATATATCTTAAATTAAAGCTAATACAATTTACTTTATTATGCAAAAAAAAAATGTCGTACTTTATTTTGTCTTCACGGTGAAAATAGCTACCAAATGCTATTATTGTGTGAAAATTCTCGATTTTATTTTTTACATTTTTAACGTTATAATGCTATAACTTATTGAAAAGCGTATGGATCATTACAATTTTTCTATGAGAAATACTATTTTTTAATAATCCTTTTTTCATTCGACATACTTTATCTTAATCAGGATACTAATAAGGAACTAGCAGATTATGTAGCTTTTGGAATAATCCACTAATTTTTTAAAATTAAACACTATCTAAAGATTTGCATCGAAGCGTTTTTTTTTTGATAGTGATTTTAATCACTGTCAGATATCATTATACTTGATCCAACTATGCCACGTCACCACTGTGCTGCGACCCC